CTATCTCACCCTCCGTCCCACCCTCCTTCGCGACCTCCTCTGCTTCCAGCACATTTCTGGCGCCGGAGCCGATGGTGTTGGCCTCAGCCTTGCGGTAGGTATGGAGGGAGAAAGGGGGAGAGGAGGGGATACAAGCATGACTCAGACAGCTAATTCTCATGCCCTCCTTTCCTCTTGCGTGCCAAGGTACACCTCGTTGAAGGAGAAGAAGGAGAGCGAGGAGAAGAGGCGGGTCCGGGCAGCGAAACATCGTCGGTGCGTCCGCAAAGCCGGCGTTCAGGCGCTTAATCCCCGAATGACGGAGGCCGTCGATTGCTTTCCATTGTCTCACAAGAGATTTCGTTGGGTTTGTGGGGTTTGTGGTTTTTTGAATGCGGTGTACGTGTATGTGTGCATGCGCCTCTCCTTGTCATGTTTATGACGCTGTGTATGCGCCTCTCCTTGTCATGTTTATGACGCTGTCTAACAAGGAAAGCAACTTCTTCCCTTTGGGCCCACGGCAGGGACAAGGAGCGGCGACACAAGCACCGAGAAGACTACCGGATCATGATGTCGAGTAAAATGAGGCGCATATGTGAGGTAACGCCGATGTTCCCTCCGTCATTTTTTCCTCCACCCCTCCCTCGCACCCTGTCCGTGGTTCTGACCCTCCCGCGCGTCGTCCTCTTCCACAGATACCCACCAACAACGCTCCTTTTCCTGACTCTTTCTCTTTCTCAGGACGCTCTAGGCATCCAGCACATTGAGGTGGATGATACAGAGGAAGACGACGAGACAAGCAGCGAGAGCGAGGACGAAGAGGAAGGCGGGGGGGAGGAAGGGGAGGAGGGCAGAAAAGGTCAGACACTGCATTGTTCTTCGAAGCCGTGCTTGCCTCTATCCGTCTTATTCCTTTACGTCTTTTTCCTGACACTATTCTTAACAACCCTACCTCAAGCCCTAGCGCTAGCCCTAACCCTAGCCCTAACCCTAATCCTAACCCTAACCCTAATCCTACCAGCGGACCTCCAATCCAAGCGGGAGAGGCAGGCAGAAGACGCGAGCATTCTCAAAGCCCTTCGGCCTAAAGGTTTCACCGACCGACAGATCCTCCACGCCGTGCACGTCCTCAGGAAAAGGTCCT